TAATAAAAGATTTAAAACAAGATGGATAAAACTAAAAAGATTTACGATTTTATATATTTCATGCACACCAAATTTTATTATATAAATATATTATTTTCTAGATATTTATATTGTTAAAAGCGATATTTATTTGCAAAATATAAAAGCAGAATTTCTTACTCTTGGATCCCAAACTGGATAACCTAGATTGACAGTATCAGGTTGTTTTAAGAGTACCGGTTGTGGCCATTTCCATTGAGAGAATACAAGGAAAAATTTTTCTATTAGAGTTGCAGCCACGGCATTAGGATAAAGCTGACATGTTCGAGCGACTAACATCGCCCAGGATACACCACCCAGATAACCTAAGACATTGCTGTATATGCCATGTCCTAAAAATGAAAAAGCGGATATAGGATAAAATATGCATTATGCTATTGGTTATTATAAAGAAAAATATTATGTAATCTTACGTTTCGCCCATAATTTTATAGCCCTAAGGGCCAATCTGAAATTTTCTATATTAGGTACTAAGCGCAATATTTCATCAGTTACTCTGCAACCATTGAGACTCCTGACACACTTTTGATCAAGATTTTTGAGTAGCATGTCATCCTTGAGATCCTGTAAAGTTATTAAACATTTAGTAAAAAATTTAGAACTTGTAAAAAAAGTAGTTTTACATATAAGTATTAAATATTACTAACCATTGTATCTGGAATTTCTTTAAGAGTTAACTTTGCAAATAACATGTCGATTTCTATACCATCAAAATTCATTTTTATGACTGGTACAAAGGCTTCTTCCACTGCCTACAATAATAATATGTTAATAACGCAACTATATTATATAGTTACAACTTAAGGTTACAATTCAAAAGTACCTTAAAATCTCCATTCTATGATTCAATTCTTCTTCAGACTCAAAAACATTATAGGGTTTAAGGGCCTCCTTCAATTCGTTAGTTCTGATAATATCAATGGGTTTAGGCTCCGCTACACTGATAGCAGATGTCATACCCAGAGTACGTAAATTGTTCTTCTCACTCGATGTAGAGTTCGGATTGGAATTGTTGGAATTGTTACTTTGCGTTTGCCACATTGTAGTATCCTTTATTTAAGTATACACCTGTAAAATGTAGATATCCTGCTGTAAATAACAATCATTTCTTATTATACACATTTCCAAGAAAAAAAAATATTTTGCATATTGCGTAAGAGAATCAAGTCAATAAAAATGTAAAACTAAATGACGATGATGAAGAGACTGCCTTACCGCTTGATAATGTTTCGTCAAAGATGCAACAGCATGATAAATAAGATACACAGGACGAAGGTACTTCGCTCGTGTTGTCAGGTTATAAAACGCGCAAAATTGCACCACGTTAATGCGTAATAGCGTGGTCGAATCGCGCTGAGATTTGCTGGAACAGAATACCGCGCCCCTTCAAATATATCTAAATCGCGACTAGGATAGTTAACGCGTTTCTAATCTAAATCGTACGTAAATAATTTCTGCGGAAACGAGGAGAACAGTTGGCTAATGCGAACGCCTCGCGGGATCTCGATTCGGGTGACGCGCGATCCCCGCAGGTTCGCAAATTCGTTCAAAGTGCTCTTCTCGTCGCATCAGTCGACGAACGCGAGAATCTTCTTGCCTTGGTGTTATGCTACGTAAATAAATAAGCAAGCATTATCACACACGCGAGGAATAATGGACAACACGTATACCCCGCACGTATCACACCACGCGTACCACCCACAACTCTATTCACTATACAAACATGGCTGATCGCGCTCGCTTCGCTTGGCTTTGCAACAATCAGAAAGTACGCAAAACGTCTAGAATGGAAAAATTACATGTGACCGACCAACGTGATTTCCGAAAATGAATGTAGATGTCGGGATTGAGAAACGCGGTTGGTAGACTTGCTTGATTCTCAAAAGTTGGTAAGCCTTTTTCGCGAAGAAGACGGCGGGCTCAGGCGGGCTTGCGCTTCTCTCTCGCAGGTATAATAAATAATAATACACATAATACATATATATTTTTAACATTCTATCCAATAATTTGTTACTTATTCTTCAACATTATTCTTTCACATTTATCGAAAGTTTATCAATTCTGTGGAGAAAGTTAGAAACAATGTTTGATTTTGGTAAAACAAGCGATTCGCTTGCTTCTATTTATCGCATTCGCTGCGAAAACAAGATATCTCTTTACACATTTTCACTATTTATACACATGCTTCACACATTTTGCTGTCATAAAATTGTGAGATCTTTCATAAAACAAAATGATAAAATAAGGATAAAAACGAAAAAGGATATATGTGTGTGTGTTTTTTTCTCTCTCTCTCTCTCTCTCTCTCTCTTTTTCTTTCTGGTATAATATATATATAATGCACATATAGCATTCTTTCGGATAAAAACGAAAAAGGATATATGTGTGTGTTTCTCTCTCTCTCTCTCTCTCTCTCCCTCTCTCTCTCTCTCTCTTTTTCTTTCTGGTATAATATATATAATGCACATATAGCATTCTTTTATTTTTATTAATAATTTATTCTTATTCTTCAATCTTTCACGTTTATCGAACCTCTAAACATATATCGATTCTATCCGAAAATATTTAGAATATTCTGGAAATGATCGATTGTTATTGATTAGGATAAATTAAAATTTCGTTGACTAAAATCTTAATTTAGAATTAAACTAAAAATCGATTTGAAGTTATTTGAAATATAAGATCTTGTTGCTGTTTTGTGTTTATAAAATTAAAATATTTATATTTTATATTAATCATAAATCGTCAACTGTGTTTGTAGCCTTCGTTTTATGCACAGATGGTCGAATTAATTTTATCGTTTGTTATTTATTACCGATTTTCTAAAATATGTTATGTATAAACCGAACGTTGTGGAAATGATATAATCTTGTCGGAAATTTTGTTAGGCGAGCTTGGTCGCGACACTTTTTCGCGCCTTCGAGGCAAGAAGGCTGCTGCCTGGAAGAAGCTGAAGAAAATGAGATAACTGCGTGAAGCTCGAGTTTCATTTGCGGCTGGGAAGTATAGGTGCAACTTACTCGGGGGAACACTTTGGCCGGCGCATTTGCTACCTGCCATTAAATTAGCACCTGAATTAATCTCCATCCACTCTTCTTCATTCCGATCTGGTCTCTAGCGAAACATGTGACTTCGAGAAACATCTTATACAGGTATGTGTCATACAGGTATGTGCTGCAATGCAACATAATAATGTAATCACATTACACATTTATACATTCAATTATTATAATAATATTGTCATAGCAGAAAATATGATATAATAATTGTAATAACTAAATAATAATCTTTGAGTGATTAGAAAATTCTTGTCATAATTCTTAATAACATTTTGCTGGTTATGTCTATTAATATACGATAAAATCATTTTTTTCTGTTATGGCCAATATCATTTTAACAATCTAACAAATAAATTTTCCAAATAATTGGATAATTATTGGCATTTAATCAATAAATTAATGATTTATCGAATTTATGTCTCGACTCTTGGATGTTAAAATCGGCGCATTTTTAAATTTCTTTCCGAAATCAACAAAAGATTTAAATCAATAATTACTTTTGAGACATTGCAATTGTTAAAATATTATTTGTTTTTTGAATCTAAATTTTATCAACCAGACATTTTTATACGTTCTTATTTATGTTTTCCCATTTTTCTTTAACCGACACCAACTTTCCACACGATTTTTCCTTTGTCTACATCATCCGGGAAATCATGGGGTCTGCGAAATTGAATGTCCTTGAACTGTACGCTTCGGGACCGTGAACTGTGATTGGACTCCGTCGTAACTGTTCATCCTAATTAAACGGTTTAACAGTTCTCTGTAGGCTACCTTTTAGATCAAAACCAAATCGAGTCGCCGCGTGTCGACGTATTAAAAAATAAATGTAACTTGAGTGCAAAGATGTAATGCAATTTTCCAAAAATGTTTTCTAGAAATTTGATTGTGAATTAGTATTTATATTACGTTTAAATACATTTTTTTATAATTCGATGATAATAGGCCAATGTTATTTACGATATATATATAATGATCACTCTATCTATAGATATTATTTGATATAAATCATATGACAATTTTTTAACTTATTTGATATAAATCATATGACAATTTTTTTTCTTTAAAAAGATAGATCGAAAAATATGCTATTTTAAATAAGAACACAAAGTTTATAATTTAAAGTCATTGTTGAAAATTTATTTCAAAGATGTATGAATTTTCAATTATAAAATATTATAAACTCTGTAGATATCTTTCCTTTTTTTGATATATCGATACTTATTTTTATTTTAATTTATTATATATGTTATAAAATAAAATTGCTTGAAGCTTAAAATCGCGAATTTAATATCTACGGCGTGACACAAATGATTGCTTCTTGCGTCAACAAGGAATTATTGGCAAAGGCCGCATTGGGCATTTTTCGATCTCTTTCTATGCCTGCGTATATGTGTACTATGTACTTTGCGTGCTCCGTAAATAACCAGATTTAATTGTGCTCCACTGCGTGATTCAATAACGTATCGCGAGTTGTGAATAAATACGCTCTTCGATGCGATTGCAAAAAGCGTTGATGAAATGTGACAAGATCCAATAATTTCCAATAGAATATTGTATATTGCATCTTGCTTCTCGTTCTGCTGCATCTCATCCGGAAAAAATACCATATTTATTCAGATGAAAGGCTCAATTTCAAATTAGCTTCGATACTAAATAGACATTTTTTGTATATAGTGTACCTGTTAGTTCTTTTTCTTAATCATCCATTTAATTAATTTATGTTTAAGATAATGAGCTTTACTTATTGCATTATCTTGTCCTATTGGCTTGAATTAATTTCAACAATCTAAATTGCAAATAGTTAACGCGTGAGAGGTTCTCAAGAACGAAAGAAAAATATAATAAATGAAAGTAAATATAGAACAAAAACAAAACTTTTGTCCTCCCTCCCAAATTAACTTTCCTTCAGGCAATTTTTCTTCTTATTCTCAACTTATATAATTTATCTTATATCTATTGTTTAAATAATTGACTTGAGAATTGGATGAAATTATGTAATATTTCGCAAATGATATGTGTTGAAACCCTCAAAGTTTTCAGAAGCCAGTTTTCTATCTAAAAAAAAAAAACAATTTTTAATATAGTATTTCTGCTTAGTGTGACAAATTAGCGCGAAAAAAGATGGAACGGGGAGGCGAAATCGGATTGGAGTTTCCAACCGACTCGTGTCTTTGTCCTTTGCTGTTACCGTTTTATCCATCGCTTCACAGAGATGACAATTTCTTTTTTTAACGCAATATATTGGGATGGGTAGTCGATAACAGATATATAACTGGTTTCAGGTAAGACTCGATTTTTCAATTTCTTCTTCAGCTGCTTTTCTATTACTCTTTCCGTCATCGGGATGAATCCTTGTTCGATTACCGGGATTGTGAACGATAGTGTAAACTCTTTTATAAATGTTTTCGCACGTTGCGTATCGTACGACGAAATACTACATACGATTTTTCAAACTTTTCTAAAAGATTTATCGTATATATAGTGCCAATCGCCATAAGCTTCTTACTGCGAACACGAAGATTATCCTTTTCTCGGTCAGTCTTCTGTTAAAATATTTCTCATATAAATCTCTATACAACTATACAATCTCTACAACTTTATACATGTTCGTGAGTCGTTTTAATATAATGCCGTAAACTACAACTTTCTTTTCTAATGCAAGATTAAAATAATTCATAGAGATAATTTCGAATATGAGAGATTATCTAAGTTGCAATTAAAAAACGCAACATTTTTATTAAAAATGGTATATATTTTATTATAAATACTTTCTCTCGTTTCCCCAGTTATATAGTTATTTAACCTTCAAATGTACAAGCATGAATCTTGGCAGAAATGCAATGCGCCCTACTTCCACGATAGTTAATGAAAGTTGTTTATCAAAGTCAGCAAACATACAGAGATAAAAGTAGAACGGAGATAAAAGGATCAAGACTCACCGCTAACAAAACAAACCAGAATGTGAAAATCGTGCAATCTGACAGACACTACATGCTGTATATTTAAGGGTTGAAGTTAAATTCGCTTATACAGTTTTATATATGTTATACAAAATATACTCTCTTAAACTGAATCAGAGTAAAAATGTGACTTTAAAATAGTGACAAAATTCCATCGAAGATTAGTATTTCACTGATCTTCAGTCAAACAACTTACAGTTTACTCCTCCGTCTTATATTTCGTTGATTATGGCAATAAGATTTTATTGAAGAGTCAACTGCAACTATATGTTACCAACTTATTCTTCTCAGTGAGATTTCATACTGTTTGCAGTGCTATACTTATACTGAAACCACTTCTTATCAATGATAATATACTGGTTTTATTTAAAAGAGAAAGAGAGAGAGAGAGTATATTTCTATAATTATGTTATAAAACATTTCGGGGCAAATTGATGCTTGTGTTTCTGGCAAAATATTTAAAAAGGATAATTTTGCACCCGACGATTTGGACGCGACGCGGATTATTTGCAAAATCGCACGGTTTATACGTATTTCTCGAATTTTTTCCAGTTTCACGTTCGCGATGCTGTACACACTCAAATCACGTTACAATCCGCCATTTGTACACCCCATCGGATAAGTATGCGAGTACACGCGAGCATGTACATCCGTTAATTATATTTTGCACCCGGAAAATTTTTTACGCGCTCCCGCAATAGA